TCCGGTCCCCTGATAACTGTTGATTAGAGTGCCCGTGGCAACATTCCAGATATGCACGCACTGATCAAAAGATCCCGTAGCCAAGAGCTGACTGGACTGAACGCCACATTATATACCGGTTCACTGTGTTTCGATAGGATTCTTTGACATTTCCCAGTTTCTACGTCCCATAAGCGTACGGTTGAATCGAAGCTGGAGGTGGCTATGCATAATGGAGCATTCGGGAACGCAGTTCCGGGCTCAGTAGGACTCCATTTGATAGTGTAGACTTCTTTCGTGTGTCCTTTCAGGGTCATGCATACAGTTATCATGATGCATGTCCCACACCTTCAGAGTACAGTCGTCTGAGCAGGATGCCAGAAGACGCCCGTTAGGATCCCATTTGATAGTATTCACTTCATTCTCATGTCCTTGGAATGTTTTTACCGGGGTTGATCGACCAAGTTCGCAGACATGAATGTTCGTGTCTGTAGAACAGGAAGCAAAACCCGTCAGGGACTGCAGTCCACGTCCACAGTTGGAGCTGTGTGGAAGGAAAACTGCTGAGCGATGCGATCAGTTTGGACTCCCAGATGATGGTCGTCTTGTCCACTCCAGCAGTAAGAATGTAGTTGCCTTTTCGATTTCTCTTCAATGCAAATATGGGTCCTTTGTGTTGGCCAAGAGCCATCGCTATTCGGCCATCAGTGTGCCATACACGCGCATACCCGTCGTAGGAACCAGTTGCTAGAAAACTTCCATCAGAATTCCAATCCAAAGATGTTACGTCCTTATTACTCAGAACGGTTTGACCATCACGGTTGACGTAATGAGTGAGAACCAAATGCGTAACTTGAGGAGGATTAGTTAACTGCTCTTCTAGATTCCAGATCCGTGCAGTCGAATCACCAGAACCTGAGGCTAGCATGTCGCTGCGAGGATTTCATGCGCAAATAAAAACTTCTGAATCATGGCCCCGCAAAACAGTGATTTGTTCCGGAGGGATCTGCCGAACGGGGACGGGAGATGTTCGATTGACTTCGGGGAGATGTACCCGATCGACATCCATTTCATCGCTTCCTGTTCGATAGTGATTCATCATTGGAGTGCCGTGATTTTCACCATTAGTTTGGATGCTTGAGAGCAAAACGGATGGCGTGACATGATGTGACTGGATTTGTCCGGGGATAACAGAGTGTGGTGGGGCGGAGATTTTATTCATATTGTGCATGGTGGCTGGATGTGTGGTGGCCACAGGACTAACCGTGTACATGGCAGTAGAAGTGCACACAACAGGAGTAGAACAATTAACTGAATTTCCACTGGACTGATTTAAGATAGAGACATTGAGGGCACTTGCAGGACTCATGTTGGATTGTGCAAGTGCGTTCATTACAGACACTGAGTAAGCTCCATGTGTTTGTTGGGGTGGAAGGGCAGTAGACATGGTTCCTTCAGTTTTGGAATTCACAGATCTCACTGTCGGATGATCATTATCCAGGGAATGATGATGGAGGCTGTTGCGTATAACCAACAGTTCGGCTGGAGTCGAGTGAACATTCGAAGCATGCTGAGTCACAGTAGGCTGAGCGC